TCTCACTCCCTGGTACCCTCCTCCACTCTTTTCCCCTGTATAGTAGGCTGTGTTGTTATTCGATTGCTTCTTTCTGCCCTCCCCAGGTTATAAACTTCCATGGGGTAGGGATGGTCTCTCAATTATAGTCACATTTCTTGCACCTGCCACAGAGCGGGCACTCTGGAACGGACCTGGAAGTCACACAGAGCATGCGCACCAGTGATGAGGCCAACACTTCTAGATGTACCTGCTGTGTGCCCACTGCTCTGATACGTGATCTCGTAATGCTCACTCAAGCAGGTATTGTTATGATGTGCAGACAGGCTCCAAAAGATGGGCCACGTGCTGTCCAAGGCAGATTGGGACTCGAGGCTTCCCTGCTCCCAAGCGGCACCCGGATGAACATGTTGCACTGTGGTAAACATCCATACCCCTCTGCCGCGTCCATGCAGTGCATCTGTGCACACACATACTTCTACCTGTGACTTAGAATCACCTGGGAGCTTTGAATATACCCACGCTGGGGCCCAGCTCTCACAAATTATATCAGAGTCTGGGGTGGGGCAGGAGGCACTGGTGTTTTCAAAAGCTCCCCAGGTGATTCCAGTTCAGGCCCCACACCCCCAGCCAGAGTAAGAAAATGGACAGCCTCTGGGAAGGCTCCTGGGGGCTAGCTTGACTGTTGGTTTCTGCTCCTACGAACTACTCTTCTTAGTCAGTGAGCTCTGGACCATCTCCGTGCTTTTGAAGGCGAGGAAGGGCTCATCTCTATGTGGCCACGGTCTCTGGGTGCCTCCTGTCTTAGGGTATTTATGACCGCATGGGCTGACGTTCTCCCTTTTGTGCTGGGTCCCTCTTGCTGCAGCTGGCCTGAGTGCCTCAGGCACCCTAAGAGGTGAGCCTCCCACAAAGGCAACCCCAGTTGGCCCATGTGAGTGTGTCTCTAGGAGCTGAAAATGAGGGACTGCTTTCCACTCATGTCTATTTAAAAATCAGACTCTTCAGTCTTGAGCAGGGGTAGGTTTGTTGAGGACAGGAAGGCCAGTAGACCAGTGGTTCTTAAAATGTGGTCCGCTGAGCACCGTCAACATCACCTGGGAGCGGGTCCGAACGTAAATTCCCAGTCTCTTCCCCCACCTCCCGCGGACTTGAGGTGTCATAAGCTCTGAGGTTAGAATCCGGCGGTGATGCACTCCGTGTGATTTTGCTGCCCCTGAGGTTAAGGAGCACAGCTTGAGATTGTGGTGAGTACATCAGTAGACCCCTGGAATAGCAGTGGTTTTCTGCCCTAGTTGGGCGTCCAAGATGCCTGGAGTCTTACAGAATCTCGGGCCCCTGGGTCACCTCTCAGTGTCTGGGGGGTTTTATTTTTAACAAGTGCTCCGAGAGATTCTGAAATGCAAGTTTTTTTTTTTTTTGAATCGTGGTAGTAGAGACCTGATAAATACTGCATTCTTTTAATAATAACTTCATATCCACTTGGCACAGGGTGAGAACACTTTTCCTCCTGGAGTTACGGCTCCTTCGTCTCTTAATTACTAAGATGTTTTCCATCAGTCCTATTACCCATTAAGTAAAGACAGTCATTCCGTTTAGCACGCGTCTTATTGCTGGATTGTTTCCTGCCACGTAAAAGCCACAAGTGGGTTTTATGGCCTCATGCATACTTAGTTCATCTTCTCAAAATTGTGTTTTGAGTGAAGACATTAGCCTCTGATCGAATTGATCCACAAAGCGTCTTTTCAGAATGCTTGCAGGGCCTAATGCTTGACTCAGAGGCATCCTTGGGGCTTGTTAGAAGCTACAGGTCAAGGAGGTGAGGACCCTACAACTTCCTGTCAGCCCTTGTGGATTGCTCTGCAAAGAGCAGGATTGAGGCAGGACAAGAGGGGTTGCAGGTGCAGACGTCAGCTCGCTCTAGAAGAGCTGATTATATTTTGTTTTGCCCACAGCTGTCTCTGTCCCCACCGTCCTTATGTGGTCATAAACGTCCACACCTGTGTGATATTTTGATGGGTCACACCTGCCGGAACAGCACTGTTGTCATGTTTCAGATATGCTGCCTAATATGTGTATCATTAAGCCTCGTGGCAGGCATGGAAAACGGCTTCTGTTCCAGCCCTTCCCACCTGCTACCATCCTGCTGCTGTTGTCCTTGACCTCCTCTGGAGGTCACCAGGCTGCAGACCCAGCAGGCTGTGTGAGAGGACTCTAGTGCCTGGATATATTCCTGCTCCCTTCCTGCACCCAGCCTCTTCTGGGCATCTCTCAAGGCTCAGCCCAAAGGCTGGGGTGAAGCCTTCTGGAGCCCCCCAACCTCCCAGGTGGATAGACTGTCGTCTTCACTCCCACACAGCTTTACCTATTACAAGCCTCTGCTAGAGCGCTCGTCCCATCATGCTTTTTTGGATGTTACAAAGGAGTGAATAAATGAAGCCTTTGTTTTTCCTACCCAGACCTTCCAGAAGGAACTTCCTTGGGAGTCTTTGAAAGTCCTTTTAATGAGACCAGACCGGCTAATAAATTTCTTTTCTTGACAGTTGCAAATACTTGGTGTTTGAGAAATAAGCTAGCCACATAACAAGGGCTTAGCCACATAACGAGGGCTGACTGAGTTGCGAGCTGGCCTTGACTTGGTTAGAAAGTGCAACGGGAACGGGAGTCAGAATTGGAATGTGGGCAACAGAGCAGGGACACAGATGTCCTGTCGCCAATACCAGTGTTAGAACGCTGCTCTGCCGAACTCGCCCCCCTGAGGCCAGCGCTGAAGGCAAGACCACCGTCGTGGGTGCCTCTGCATTAGTGCTGTGCTGCTGACCCCAGGCTGAATCGCCTGGGGACTGTAACAAAATCCCAGGGCCCGGGCTGCCCCCCAGACCAGCTGAGTCAGAAACTCGGGGAGGGACCGGGCATCTGAACTCTTAAGCGTTTCCCAAGTGCTTCCAATCTGAAGGTAGCTTTGAGAACCACTGGATTGAAGAAGGCTGTTTCAATGTGTGGGGTTGAAGATGAGGTTGGGAGGAGTCACCTGGCTTCTCTGTTCTTTTTCATAAGGTACATAGAGACCTGCTAATCCTTACAGGTATAGCTGTGTGTGCACATGGTCAGAGGCTGTGGATCGTGGATTTTGACAACAGGGCACGGATTTACACGTTTGGTGGAAGGCTAGATCCACATAACTCTCCTTCCTCCCATTCGTTAGCAGCGCATGGCCCAGAGTTTCCGGAGATAGAACTCAGCCTCTACAAGCCTCTCAAACTCTCCTGTCCATTTCTCTTGCCACTGTACTGACTTTGCCTTTCCTCTCTCTTTTCTCAATAATAGTTTGCTGGCATTCCTCTCTCCACTCTTCTGTCGGTCCATTGCCACACAATGGCCACACCCAGCATCTTTTGCTTTGATGTTGCCCGATGCCCACAGATAAATGACAATGGTTATAGATAGCCCTTTCTAGCATTTACTCCTGTATGTTGTTGACTCCTGGCTCCTGGCACTCCTCTCCCCATTTTATAGATGGGAAAGTGAAAGCGTAGGCGAACGGTGCAAGGTCACAGAGTCAGAATGGCCCCGGAGTCCTGGCTCTGCACCCCTCTGCTTTGCTTCCTCTCCCTACACTCTTCTGCCAGGAAGGGAAAGGCAGCTCTGTGCTAGCGGACCTTTCATTATTTCCAATCTTGTACATCCTGCCTGGTTGATGTTCCTGTCCCTGCTTCACAGAAACCAGGGCTTGGACAGGTGAAGCAACTTGATCGACATTATAGAGCTAATTAAGGGAGTAATAGCTGGGATTCAAACCAGGTGTTCCTTTCTCCGTGCTCTGCGTTTTTTCCACCACACTGCTCGGGATTGCCTAATTTCTTTAGGGTGGCATCTGTAGCTGTTTAGAATCTGTCACCAATCCATCTTTCCAACCATTTTCCATTCCTTTATTAAGTCATGCCACCAACTTTTGCTCACACTGTTGCCTTAGCCTGGAGTATTCTTCCCTGCCCAGCTAGGACTATCAGACCTCCCGTGATGATGGGGACTCTTACCTTGCTGGTAATACCCTGTGTGGAACCTGCAAACAGCAGGAGGGAGGGCTATTTGCATTTTCTCTCTAGCTCAAAAGCCCTAATATAAGGCATCTCCCCTTGACCCCCCCCCCCCCGCCGCCCCATGATGGTTGCAGCATGAGTGTAATATCCAGTCACTTTGTGATATAATTGTGCATATCTGTCTGCTAGGTGGCATCTTAAGGCCAGGTGTCATCTCTTCCTTTTTTTCTCTGTGTGGGTGTGTGTCTAGGGCATTGCCAAGCCACTGTAGAGGTTTAATATTTGTTAAAACAGATGAAGCTGGACTAGAATACAGAGGTGGGGAAAGTCTTAAAAATATTCCATCCAAGGGACTTTGGCAGGGCTGCAGGGCATAGAACAGTCGGGGATGTATTTATTTGAAGGCCTAGGGAAATGTATGTTGGAAATTTCCAGAAGGAAACGGAGCTAATGATTATCCCAGTGAACTAATCTAGCATGTCCATTTTTCCAAGTAGGGTTTTGTTTTCTTTTCTTCCGGTATGCTTTGCCAACCTAGTAAAAAGCCCCTGGCCCCCTGTGCCCTCCCAGCATGGACTTCCTAAATAGGGTGTCATTGGGAGTGTGTGAAAATGGACTTCAGGGCTTGCGCAGGACACCTGAGCCCTACGGGATGGTGGCCGCCTGTGGGGAAGGAGAAGTTGTGTTTCCCAAATACAGGCAGAACCTTTCAGGATGGAAACAGGTGCCAAGAAAAAACTTCCTTGCTTTTGGAAAAGTTAATTCTTTAGCCATCGAATTAGGGTTGTCCTCCTAAGTAAATATTTTTTGGACTCTTCAGGTTTAAGTCCCTTGTCACAGTTGCCTTTTGCATTCCTGGTCCTGTCAACCTCGCTGAGGGGGCAAGGGCCGGGCCGCGGGTGTACCGCGAGGCCGGAGGGGGCTGCGTCCCAGGTGGTGTGCGTTAGCACTGGCCTTGAGATTTCCTTTTGCACCCCGCAGGTGAGCGTCCTGACCACCCTGGAGCGGAGGTTCAACCTGCAGAGCGCCGACGTGGGCGTGATCGCCAGCAGCTTCGAGATCGGGAACCTGGCCCTCATCCTCTTCGTGAGCTACTTCGGGGCGCGCGGGCATAGGCCGCGCCTCATCGGCTGCGGCGGCATCGTCATGGCCCTGGGCGCGCTGCTGTCGGCGCTGCCCGAGTTCCTGACCCACCAGTACAAGTACGAGGCGGGCGAGATCCGCTGGGGCGCCGAGGGCCGCGACGTCTGCGCCGCCAACGGCTCCGGCGGCGACCAGGGCCCCGACCCGGACCTCATCTGCCGCAGCCGGACCGCCACCAACATGATGTACTTGCTGCTCATTGGGGCCCAGGTGCTCCTGGGCATCGGTGCTACCCCCGTGCAGCCCCTGGGCGTCTCCTACATCGACGACCACGTGCGGAGGAAGGACTCCTCGCTGTACATAGGTAGGAGCTGCGGCTGTGCCCGCGCGCTTCCCTGGGCTCCATGCTCTGTTAGTAACCGGGGCGCCTTGACAGAGGAAGGCAAGGTGGGCCCGTGAACTTATGGTTCTCAGACTTGGCTGCACATCTGCCGGGTGTGTGGCGGGGGAGCTTTGAAAAATGGGGATGCCTGAGTTGTACCCCCAAGAAAATCCAGTGTAGTTGGTCTGGGGTGCCACCGGCGTGGACTGCTTTTTTGAAAAAGCCTCCCCCGGTGATTTCAATGCGCAGTGGAATTTGAGGTGGGCTTTGCTAGGGCATTAGGAAGCTATGAATGGAAAGACATGGTCAGGATGGGTTTAACGTGTATTTACCTGCTTTTCGTGTGTGTGTGGACTTTGAGCTCTCTGGCCTTAGCCACCAAGGTATACTTGGGGTCTACACCTTGGAAACCCCAGTTTTTAATAATTGAAATGATCATCTGGTCATTGTTCTATTGAAGTTCAAAGGGGGAGAAATGATTGTTTTCTCAGCATTTGGTATCATTCAAAGTTGGTGACTTCTGGTAATTCTGCAATGAGGGTATACACAGGAGCTGGGTATTTAGGAAGGAATAAGGTCCATGTGAGTTGTTCAAAAATTATTTTGTGTCCTAGCTTCTGATATTTTCAACTGGCAAGATGGAAGCCATTCATGGGTCTAAGGTTAAGCAACCTCGAAGTGTGAGCTTTTCTTACAACAAACGGGGGTCCTCTGTCACTGCCCTGGGGCACTGTCGTATGGCCATTTGTAGGGTGAGGGCCTGCCGAGCATCTCTGTCCCTTGTTCACTAAGTGGCCTCCCACAAACAGTTGGATTGTAAAGACCTGTCCCCACTCACTGAGTGCTGAGCTTTGACAGAATTACCTCTTCCTGTGGAAACGTTTTGCTTCCTGGAGCACCATTAATTACCATACAGAGGTTTAGGATAAAATAGAATTTGAACAGAATGTGACCTAAAGCTTTGTACCTGTTGAGTTTCCACCATGCACTGCCCGAGGTTTCTGAGCTAGGAGGGTTTGGAATAGTTATACACTTTCATGCCGAGTTTCCTCGGTGGCTTTCTGTCCCAGCTATGGAGTACATGCTTTTGTTGGACAAATATGTTGCAAATGTATGTTTCCTGTTCTTTGAGAACAGACTTAGGGTGAGAAAGGTGGAGTGTGTGTCCTCTCTCTAAAGGGGTAGATCACCTGGAGCCTGGTCGTGACTTAGCTTCCACTACGATGTGGAACCCAACATAGAAGATATCCCAGGCTGAGGCCAGGCCCTCTCCCCATGTGGTCTGGGTGGGTACTAAAGGTACTAAGGACATCATTTACATTTTGCTCTTTCTAAAGCTTGAGCAACAGCCACTCCATGTAAGTCTGACGCAGACTAGGACATGGGCCACAGCATTGAGCCAGATAGCTTCCTGAGGTCCATCCAGACCGTTGGTCTTGGACTTGACTGATGTCACCCTAGACCCTGGGAGAGCTGTTTTCTGGTAGGAGTCATAGCAAGTACATAAATCAAAGCCCAGAAAAGGAAGTGGGGAATGAGTAGCTGAGTTCTTGTCTCTGATGATAGAATCTAGCAGAAAAATTCCTCCCCGGAATCCTTCCTCAAGTCCTGTCAGGGCTGAATCACCTTGGCTTGGGACTTCTTGCCTGGGGCAGCAGGCCCAGAACCTGCTTCTGGAAGTCTTCGCTGCTGAGTTAGGTCATGGTCTTTCCCTGCAGTGGGTGGGACCTGGTTTGTGTGTGCAAAGCTTTAGGGTGAGGAGACGCTTTGGTTTTGTGTGTGGCAGGTGGACCGTTAAAGGCAGAGGGCCTTCTCCAGTTCTGAGACCATGGGATTTGCTGTGAGTCTTTGTTAGGAAGAATGTTTCAGGCAAATTTCTACTTGGGTGCCATTTTTTTTTCTTCTGTGATAAACAGAGTTGGAAATATCTGTGTGGCACATGGACCTCTTGGCGCTGGTCCATCTGGCAAATTCCAAAACATGACCGTACACAGCTGTTGAGATGGGCTCTCTGAGTGCCTCTGAACTGGTTTCATGGGTACATGTTTACAGGGAGAAGAAAAGAGTAAGCCTTCTGGGGGAGGTCAGCCCAGTATGTGATCTTACTATCCTGTGCGTGCTTGGGATTCTCCAGGAACAATTTAAGAAGACCACAGTATATGCAGAGTATAACTGGTTCACTCATTTATTGTACAGGACATCAAATAATGTGATCACAGGAATATTGTCACCTTTATCTCCTCTAATGGGGAGCTACTTCCCTTTTTTTTTTTAAAGATTTTATTTATTTGAGAGAGAGAGAGAGAGCACGTGAGAGGGGGAGGGTCAGAGGGAGAAGCAGACTCCCCGCTGAGCAGGGAGCCTGATGCAGGACTCGATCCCAGAACTCCAGGATCATGACCTGAGCCGAAGGCAGTCACTTAACCAACTGAGCCACCCAGGCACCCAAGGGGAGCTACTTCCTGAAGCCACTTAAAGCTTTGGGAAGTATATGGGGGAACCCACTAGAAGGGACTGCTGCATTATGGCCTTTTATACCTGCCTACAGAGAAGAGGAAAGTCTGAAGGGACTGGTGCTGGGACTGTTTGTGTAGATGCGTGTCCATCAGGGTGGAATAGCCTGTGTGTCCCCTGCTTCCAGCACCTGTGAAGCTGGTGAAGAGCAAGAGGCCCACAGCCAGCCATCTGGCCATATGCCTAAAACGTGAGTGTGGGTTGGAGATGGAAAAGATGATCAATTGCTCCGTTGTCAACCACAGACTTGTTCACAGCTGATCCTTTCCTCTGGGTGTCCACAGGCCGTTGGCGATAAGACCTGCCCCTGGGGTGTGCGTGTCCTGGGTCCCCAGTCTTGGGGTGTGTGCGCTCCTGCGTGGCCATGTTGTGGACCCTAGAATGAGGGGGACATGGAAGTCTTCCATCTCAAGTCCAGCCAATATTGTCCACTGAAATGACTGTTGGCTTTGGACGGTTGTGGCCGGACCACGGCCAAGCTTCTGAATTCCTGGATGGGCCGTTCCCCAGGGGCTTCTCTGGCTGGCACCATTCTGCAGCTGCCCCTTTCCAGCACGGGGAGGGAGCCAAGGGAGCTCATTACCAGGGGACAAAAGCAGCTGAATGGGGACATGGCTCTGCTGGCAGGCTTTTCACAACCATATGACATGGAGCCAAGCCTCACCGAGCAGCTAGACAATGACCTGTGGGTGGCACGTGGCACTCTTTCTTCCGAGCGGGACTGATGGGGCAGCGTGGCAGTGGAGACCGTTGGATGTGAGGCATGACCAGGGTCCAAGAGTCGCGCCTTTGGGATTCTCCTCAGTGAGCCTCTGGCCCATGATGTGACCTTCCATGAGCTCCGTGTTCTTAGCTGTCCTGTTTCTCCAAGTTTAAAACCTGGCCCATCGTATTGTAGGCAAGGGTAAGTAGAATAATGTGATGGACTCACTGTGTCCCTCATTAGGTTGACTGTAACCTTGTTCTCTTTGAGGAGGAAAAAGGTGAAACGAGAGTGGTAGAGATTTTTTTAAATAACTTTATTCCTAGTTAAAAAGTATGACATAAAAAGCATGTCACTGTTGACAACTTCGGAAGTATGAAGAAAGAATAAAGAAGCACTACTCTTAGCTTTATGATTATATAATGTCTTTATTTTCTGCATTGGTATGATTTTCTACCAAAAATGTGTTTCGGGGGTACCTGGGTGGCACAGTTGGTTAAGCGTCTGACTCTTGGTTTTGGCTCAGGTCATGATCTTGCGGTCCTGAGACTGGGACCTGTGTTGGCCTCCACGCTCAGCGGGGAGTCTGCTTGAGATTCTCTCTCCCCCTCTGCCCCCCACACTCACTCATGTGTGCGCACGCTCTCTCCCTCCCCCCCCCAGTAAATAATCTTTAAAAATGTGTTTATAACAAATATCTCTCTCAATATTTGATGCATATTGTCTCATGTTACTAAATAGTCTGTGGTGCTACTACTGTAAACATAACATTCTCTTGTGGATCTGTACCGCGATGTTTAATGCCCTCTCTTTTTGGACATGCGTTTTTTAACGTGTTCGCTGTTGTAAATGAGGCAGACAGGGACACGATTCTGAGAGGTTCAGGGACTTGCCTGAGAGAAGTTAGCTGAATGGAGCTGGACTCCAGATCTGAGGGGCGGGGGTTTTCCCATGTTCGTCTGGGATCTGTCACAAGGCTGGGGTTGTGGGGAGAGGGCCAGTGGATGGTCCAGGGGGTCAGGTACAAGTCAGGGCATTGCACAAGACAGCGTGAAGGCTTCAGGAAATAAAAATCACAGAAGCCAGCAAGGAGGAAAGAGCGCAGGGTGCCTCACAGCTAAGGGGAGAGGTGGGATCGGAATGAGAAGTGGGTGTCACAGCCCGAGATGTGGGAAGAGGAGGGAGAGGGGAGGGTGGTCCAGGCTAACAGTCCAGGGTGGGGTTCTGGAGCCTTCTCCAGGGTGGGTGCAGATTAGAGCTGGCCCTTCTTAGACAGGGGCAGCTGGTGTATTCTTCCTTCTGCTTCCCTGTCTCCAGCAATGCAGGGGCCCTCCCCTCACATGGCTCTTCATTCCCTTCATTTTTTTTTTTTTAAGATTTTATTTATTTGACAGAGAGCGAGAGAGGGAACACAAGCAGGGGGAGAGGGAGAGGGAGAAGCAGGCTTCCCATGGAGCTGGGAGCCTGATGTGGGGCTCGATCCCAGGACCCCGAGATCATGACCTGAGCCGAAGGCAGATGCTTAATGACTGAGCCACCCAGACACCTCTCTTCATTCCCTTCTTGAACCATTATAGCCATTAGGCACTTGTGCTTCTGTTGTGATAGAAATCTGGCTCCTCACAGCTTCCCACATGTTGCTCCTGGTTCTGCCCCATGGGCTCACCCCGAAAACTTGCATTCTGTCTTCTATGTTGTGATAGCTCCCCAGATAGTGGAGCACCAGTCTCGCATGGGTAGGGAAGGGTTGGTTACCTGCTGCTTA